GAATAATGTGCCCTATTCCTTTCACCCCATCTCTTCATTGATACAGATACACACAATGATATGCCTGATGTCAGAAAATAATGAGTATTGTTGAGGTAAACTGGAGCAAATGATACCCTCTGGATGTTTGGGATTGTATTGTCTAGAAATCTAGATGACAAAAGATCCATTATGAGAAAATTGCAGCATTCTTGCGACTTACAATATATTATTCACGTTTTGCATGGTATGATGTTGATATTGTATGAAGATTGGATGAGAGAGAGAGAGAGAGAGAGAGAGAGAGAGAGAGAGAGAGAGAGAGAGAGAGAGAGAGAGAGAGAGTGAAATGAAACAATAGAGAGGTGATGATATCGATGACAATAAGGCGCTTGATCGTCCTGAGCATGTTCAATGATCTGATGATTCTGAATGAAATATGAACTACTGAATAAGTGCCTAAAGGGAAAGAGAGAGAGAGAGAAAGAAGTTGAAGACAACAAAAGAGTGAGATGAAACGCGCAACAAATTCGAATGTTGGCTGGGTAGAATTTTCGCCCCTACGTTTTTTTTTTATCGCTTGGAACGCACGAAAAGGAATCCCTATAATGTTCGAGAAACATCGTGCGTACCTAGGAAGGAGGAGGTATTGAAAATGTTCGGAACTTCTGGGAATTATAAGTTCGTGGGAATACTTCCTTAGACAATCATTTCCAGAGCTCTGCAGTTCTATAGACAAACGAATTTTGATGAAATGCTGTTCGATATATCCCGAGGTTGACAAATAATGTGCTAACTGGGCTTGTCGAGTTCGTCTGACTGGTGATGCTATTGATATAATGATAGCAGATATTTCTAAGGAACATTTTCTGTAGAAGTACCTATGAGAAAGGTGAAGGTCACCGATTTTTTAACGGTGTTCCAATGATGTCAAAAAGTTAGTGAGTGTGGCATCACCCACCAGGCGGATGGCTCTTCTCTGTATGGATTCTGAGAACGTATGTTTGGGTGCTGAACCCCATAAGTATGGGAACAGTATTCTGGAATAGGCCATATGTATCTGCTTTATAGATGATGAGGAGCTATTGATGTGTAAAGTAGCCTAGAGTTTTTGTGAAGCATGGATCTGACATTATTCCATGGAAGGATATTGCTGTTGGAAAAACAGAGCATAAATATAGTGGATCTGTTAAGAATGGTGGTACCAGACATTGTCATATCAGGTATACAGGATCCCGCTTTGCTTGCTCGCTTGCTTGCTTTGTTAATATGATATTGCAAAATACAGTCATCCGATTCAAATTTTTAGTGTGAATTTATTTACTCACAAACCTTGGACCCCAATTAACATTTTTGTCAAATCGAAGATAGATAGCGCCAGAAGAAAGATGTAGGGAACCAAAAATGGATTCAACAAGCAAGAGAGAAGCAAAGGACAGCTATACCAGCTGATGGATGAAAACAATATTTGTCGTGGTCGCACATGTAGCCATTTCAATGGTTCTAACTCTTTTTTAGTAACCCCTGATACTACAATCTAGTAGAGTATATCTATGAGCCTATCGTGCCTATCTTGGCGTTACCATCGAGACTCGTGGGTAACGGTTCGGGCCTGTTGTTTTGGTTGTAGAATCCCGATACTGCATCATCTGGGTCAAGGTTGATTTAATATCTCTATTTGTTTTTGAATGGACCCAGCAAACCTCGAAAGGCGGTAGAAAGCCGGGCCCATGGCGAGAACGGCGGGCAAATGTCGATGCCGGCATGCCTCGAAAGGCCCTCCATATAATTTCGAAGGATTATATGACGGAGGCAAAATGTACACATACTTATGATGGGCCTCTGTTTCCCAGCCGCTAGTCTTCCGCTGTATGTATCCAAGTCCATGGGCCATCAAAATTTCAACGGAGTGTGCCGTCAGCATTCACTCAACGTTGGCATCCCTCGCTCGCGTGAGTTTTTATTTCGATCATTTTGCAGTGGTTACAATGATTCAGTATGGCGTATATTAATTTCTTTGTTTATGTTGATTCAACACTCTCAACAGAGATTTTAGTACTGTGTTCAGTTCGTGTTTGGTTTTCTAGTGGATTTTTATACGAAATGGAAGGATATTACCGAGGATATTACAGAGTGAGTGAGGAACAAACATATATTCAAACTTGCACAGCTAAATAATTCCCCTATTTTAGATAATAATTTTACATACACCATTGGACAAACAGATGCAATAATAGTTTGGACATGTTTAGCGGATACACAAGAATCTAATAATATAATAATATGAGGACTTTGAAGATCATGAGCTTTCATTACATATGAATCATAAATCTATTTTCAAAACGAAAATCAAAGAGTACCTACTTGAAGAAACAGTTATATTTCAAGAATTACTGTAGGTATGTATAATGTTGCATGTTTTGGATTAGTAGAGAATGAAATCATTCAATCTTTCAGCTACAAAATCAACAACCAGAAGCCCATCAATCACAGATATTAATGAAGAAATCACACAATGATCCAGACTATGATATAAATTTCTTCATGGTATATGATATCTCACTTCCAGGCAACACTCATATCAATATGATAAAGAGTGAGGTGTTGACAATAACTTGATCAATATAATAACTGATTACCTACATACATAACTTTCAAGTTATTAGGTAGGTACATAGGTGATGTAATTTTTGACCTAGAGTTAGCAACTTTTTGAAACAAGTGGAGAAACAAATATCTATCCTGCATGATGAAACACAAATACCTATTATTGTAAATTGTAGGTACCTTTTCATGATGAGTATACAGAGTGATATGTAGAACTAAAATTAAGATGTTTGATGTTTCCATAGTTGTGATATGTATTGTTTGAGATCATGGCAATAATATACACACATGGATATTTTCAGTTCTTGTTTTTGTATGGGGTATTTATACTGCTAGTTTCCTGGAAATAACTGTGATATCAGGATGCTACCTCAGAGATTTTTATGTAATTATTCAACAACTTCAGGTAAGGAGTGAATTCCACATTTCTGTTATACCCAGAGAGGATTCACAAAAAACTGGGAGACCTCAATTCTGTTTTTTGAAGTTCCACATTTTTCAACCAGTTCGAAAATAAAGAGAGTGATGAAGATCTGAGTGAAAATGAGATACTTTGCTTTCCAAGTGGTGATATAAACTGGGATACCTTTCAAAAAACTTATTTTCACCGAGATATATGCATTACCCTGTATATTTCTTGACAAACCTAGTTGAAAAATAGGACATCGAAAAACAGAATACCATGAATATTGAATTCATTCAACCCCGTTAACCAACGGCCCTGAAAAACTCCTCTATCGGGGGAATAAAAATTCTCAAGCGGCCAATTAATGGCAGTCTCTGAAAAGTCTCAATCGGGCCGAAGATATGCCATGAATGCGGTACATTTGAGTACTTGCTTCTGCCCACCAGAAGCCCTGCAATGTGATAAGCGGCATACTGATGGCTCTAGAGAGGCGGTCGGCTGTCGGCCGCCGGGACACGGGCTAGCCGGCCCAATTTAGTTGTACAATAGAGGACCGCTGTTACCGCTCGCCGGCAAGTTTCATTGTACCTTTAGAGGGCCGCAAAAATAATGTTTGCTGGGGAGCAAACGCATTATAAAACCCTTGTCCAGATGGTTCATTCTCAGTTCAGAAATTGGAATATAAGTAGAAGGTTTACGATCAATTTCTAATTAAATTGTATAGAATTGAGGTCTCACATGCATTTCGAAAGATTACGTTTGGAAAGACCCATATAATGAACAAACTACACTCTATAGACTTCCAAGTGGATAGGATGACCTTGAACAATATTTTTAGCTCAGCCACCAAACAAGATAATATGTCCTTTTGACATAATGGTCCGTGATCTGTGATAGTGCGCAGGCGTTGCAGGCTCTGGAACATTGGTATCAAAATGGCGTCCATATTTTGTTCGACGAATGATGATTGACATGTCTTCTTGGTTGTGATGACCTCCCGTTCAAAAATGTGTCTTTTCCGTTTTGAAGTACCTACTATTTATTCGATTTATCACAAAATATCTTATTTTTCAATCAGGACCAGACAAAAGTGCAGTGCCAGGACCTTCCAGACATTTTCCAAATTTAAAAAATATCTAATCATGTTTCTAAAGTGGATAAAGTGTATGAAGATCTTGTAATGATTGTTCAGTTTCATTTAATTACAGTTTTTATGACCTAATTGAGATATGATTCATTTTAATCTATTGCTCTCATTCCAACTGACCATTTTTATGCCAGTATCTGTGAATGGTTGGGAGAGAAGAGATGGAACCATGTTATGCTCATTACATTTCATCTACTTCGCTATTGGCTCCTCTTAAGTGAAATATTAGAATACAACATAATATGGATTATTCAAAATTCCCGCTTGAGCTACCAAACACTAGAGGAGCTGGCGAAACAAAACAAGAGGTTTACATGTACATTGGATCTATAAGGAGTAGTTGATCTATGGAAAGGACCATTTAATGTAAGATGATGTGAATCCCAACAGATTATTGATATGATGTGGATGCAATGTTGGTATCAAAATTGATTCTTATTGAAAGCCGGAATTGATGACTATGGTATCAAACGATGTTCCGACCACCAACACATGTAGCGATCTGCCTGAAACAAAACTGCCAAACACGATCGCATGCTTTCGATATATCTAATTTCACAGCTAGACTGGTGACTGAGATGAATCTCAAAAGTATAGTGATACTTCATCCATTATTCAGAAGGTACATGTCTATACACTATGATATATTGATGGTTCGTATTTTGATATAAATGCCTCGAATATAAAGCTACTTCTTACTAGGTAACTCAGATTTATGGAGTTGAAGTTGAACTATTCTAGTAGGTATGTATATCTAGCAAGCCATGCTATCTATAGGAAATACCTCTGAACTGGTGAATATTATAATGCTATGGCCATAACACTAGATACTATCTCTATGAAACTAAAAGTAACTCCAGATTACCTGACTGACACTTCGGTAGCTACTTGCGCTTCCACTGCGCGCCTGTAAACAAATAACAATTATACAGGAATAATTTGAAATTATTTGTGGTAATCAATGACAATACGGAAATAACGTTCAGTCATTCAAGAACACATATTTGATCGTCATCCACTTTGCTAATATATCATTATGATGATAAAATAAATGTTGAACTGCAGTATTACCCGCGATAATTTATAGAAATCGATTTCTTCTCATCTGTTATAATTGAAAATCAGTGTGACTAGAATAACCCATTCCACTGAGAAATTATAGATGGTGGCAACCACATGAACCTATGAGGCCTGCCTGGAAGGCAGATAATTTTTTTCAATTTTATACTGATTCTTCCTTCTCTCATCAGCCGGCAACCATATATTATTTGAAAAAATGTGTTGGAGAACGTTCGATATTGTGTCGGTTAGATGAACTATTGTTGAGTGTTTCAATTTTGTTTTGAATGAATGATGGTACTAGACATTGAAATATCAAGCATACTGAGTTTTGCCTTTCTAGAGAAAATACAGGCTTGAGTTTTGGTGCATGGTGTTGTATTCTTTACTAGATTGTTGGTTCCCCAGGCTGTAATTTTAGCAAGATATTTATTGACAGCGTTGACCTTCCTTCGTCTTGAGTTATTATGGTTTCCTGAAAAGGAATAGGAATTCTAGAAGAGAACGCAGTATGGAGAGTACTATCGTCTGCATAGCTGTGGGTAGGCCAAGCGGTTGGTGATGAGAATGAAATATTGCGAAATTTTTCAATCCTGTAACCCTAGACCCCTGCCCTCTGAATGTCATACCTTCGGAACTCCGGATATCATGGCTTGTCCAGTGAATTCATTAGCACCCGGTATACAATATACATAACCAATGAAGTGCATCGTTCGAATTTTCTGCATATAGTTTTGGTCGAGATTTTCATACAAGTCAAAGAAATATTCAAGTAAATGGTTCATCAATTATGTACATAGTCACAGAAAACACTCAGTCAGATCAATAATGCAAATACCTGGTATAGTTTACACTTTTAGTTGCAGTTTCATATCACAAACCTTTGTATGAAAATCCTTTCTGATACTCAGTACACTTGTGGGATGTTGATTTGAGGAAGTTCTTCCGGCCTGAAATCTGATAGTCAGTTAGTTTCCAATGGAGTTTATGAGTAAAATAATAAATAATGACTTGCCTGTAGTGTTCTCTGGGATAAATGGACTTGCTTGGGTAATCTGCCTTTTTTTTCGAATTTTTCTTTCGGTTACCTACATATGAAGTTACAAATCTCACCTTCTTCTCGTCTGTCTTTTGGATAGCATTCAAAACAATTTGCCCTTTTCATCATTGAACAATTTATAGATCACGATGTACTCCAATGACTAGAAATATGATTTTCTTGTGATTTATCACCATTTACGGAAGAGAAGGAGGACTATCATTCAGATAATGACATGTGTAACGTCATTCGAAAGCAATCTGTTGACATTTGACATCTCGTATTTGGATTGATCATTGAACAAATGGCGCCCTCATCTGGTATGATTGTTTACTAAATATGGAAAACTTGACATAAAAACCACATTTCGTGTTGAACCTTCTATTTAAAAATGTGTCATTGAAGTACATCATGAGTATATGAAGCGTGGAATGACGAACTAAGGAGAGCGAGTAGCTGTAAATGCATCCAAGACAGGAGGGAAGAGGCGCAATTTCGAATATTTTCTCGAAATATCTCGATTAATAGTGGTTTGTCCACATTTTCATTATCGAATTCGTCTTTTTCAGACAAAAATACGTACGTCACATGAAAAAAATCCGAAAACACCCATCGCGTTATAAGTGCGAAATTACCCTTCCTTGAATATTTCAGGGATCATAAGGACGTGTCCCTTCTGAAGAAGAACGTATCAGCTATTTTCATTGTTGTTAAGAATGAGCTCACTTGACACTCTTGGCATTGTTGATGTTCTTCATCCGTAACGTCACTGTCAAGTTGACAGACTTCACGGTCGCATGTCTTGTCAGCAAATCTCACTGCCAAAGAGCGAGGCTTCCACGGCTGCAGAGGATAGTTGACAATAGAGTCACTGGATGGTATTAGTTTGATAAGAGTTCAGACACAGCTGAACTTTTGTCCTTTTCTATTTTCTATAATACAATGGTTTAGGTGAATAAAAGAATAAAACATATATTCTGCTCTTTGTCTTTTCAATTTCCCTAGTAGTGCCTGATTGTCAGATACGATTTCAGAGGTTATATTTTTTGTCAAATCAATCATAGCCGTAGATGGACAATGGGTATAGGGTACAAACACCCACTTCAATTTATAGTGATACACTATGGATACACTTCTAACATCAGAACCAAATGTTATATAAATGAAAAGAATGCATGTAACAACATTTTAATATTAGAAAATAAACACATATGGATAAATTTATAGCTATAATTCCTTATTATATGTGAAACTATACTCCAGTGATGAGTATAAAACATGAAGTTATTTATATTAAATTAAAGGTAGATATTCTCAATATACAGGAAGTAAGATAAGTACTTTCAAGTGAAGTATTCCTGAGACAATTATAAAAAATAAAGTCTATAAAAGCTTTTGTGTCCGGAAATGCTTCATTTCGTAGATACAGAGTGCTGAAATACAGAGAACAAATCATTTTTCGATAAACATTTGATAGGAAAAAAGTAGTTTATTTTGACGAGACCTACCAAATACTTGGTTTTGTAAAGTTCTCAGCAACTCCAGTTAGCGCCCTAGGAGCTAATAAGTAACATGGATCGATATAGAAAATATCTCCAAAACATTAACCTCCAGCGTAATTAAGGCCCTTATAATAATTCCCTTGATACATAAATAACTATTCACTTTCCACTGTTGAATTTTGAATTTGGTCGGAACCAAAAACGCCATTCAATAATATAACACTCTGTATTTTACTTGCTCTTCTTATAGTTTCGTTTTCAAATTCTCAATTTCATTATGTAATTTTGCGATCATTTCCTCTTTTCCATGATCATCTCGTTTTGTATTTTGTGTGATGATAATAATGGAATTTTGTTCTCGATATCGCTTGCTTTGTAAATTAATTGAACAGCAGATTCTCACAAACAGATTTTGAAATCTTCTGTTTGAAGATGGGCCTAAAATATAGTTTCATTCTAATCAGATGCTGTTATAAAAAGTGAATTTTAATGAGTACCTCACAAATTTCGCTCGTTCTCAAATTGATTTTGCACCCATCAGCCATTTCATATCTTCCTTCCATAAGCGAATGGTTGATATTCGTTTCGGAAAATTGAATAAATGATATCCATTTTCTTCAGAATTGGCACAATTTATTACACAGCGAGTAATTTCCATAGCTGCTTTCATCTCGAATGAATAATCATGAAATTTTATTTCAAATCTGACGTTTATAAAATGTATTGTCAAATTCAAACAATTTTGAATGAATAAGCGCGGGACCTGGCGCGGGACGACTATGGTGCTCTTGTCACAATGCAAGGTGTGAAACTTAATAAATCTAAACATTCAAAAACCCTAACCGTTGTCATTTCTGTGTCCGAACTCTTATCAAACTAATAACATCCAGTGACTCTAGTTGACGACAGTGTCTCGTCGACGAGTGATGAAGCAGCCCGTTGTTCATCGTAGAGTCTGGATGAAGCCATGGTTTAACCCCGATCGAAAGTAAATCTTCTGTTCAGATTCTGTATTAGGTTTGGCAAAATGAAACTAGGGATTTTTCGACAAAGTTAGGGGGAAGAGGAGGATTATGAAGAGACTTCCGGGATATTGACTTTTTCTCAGCGGCAATGATAGAAGAAAGCTGAAGGTTTTGTTGGTTTGGCGGTGGGCACTGTAAATTTGGCTTTCTAGTCAAACCTATTTTGGGGAATTTTATTTTCCAGTGTTTCACAAGCTCTAAGACGAATTTTCGAGTCTCTTTTGATGTTATGATTGAAAGAATGCCCGTTGTCACCTTCGAGCCCTACAGCATGGCCCTTCATTTTCTTGGTGCTGATTCTACCCTTCGCAAAAGGTGAGCACTTTATTTTAGGATGATTTATCTTCTGGATTGTTATGTCTCGCCATTCTGACTGTGTTTTTTACTTCTTGTGATCCACGTGGTATGATATGTACAGGATGTTGAGTGACCCTATTTTTTTTCAATATAGGATCGTAGGATGACCGTATGAACGTAGGCCGATCGCATTGAGGCTGTTTGGTTTCTTGTCGGTTCTCCATTGAGAACACCACTTTTTCCTCGTCAAGATCTCCTATAGGACGTTCTCACCACCTTGTCCTTGAATTTTTACCAGTGGAGACCAGGGGGGCTCTGGACTTAAAGCTCAGCACCGGAAGCTGAGTTGCTGACTTGTACTTTGTTATAATGCAAGGAGGAATATCAGGAGGAGAAACAGCGTAGTGTAGCTCACCAGTTCAGCAGAAGGCCACATTTTCGTTTGTGTTTGTCTCAGTGACTTATGCTGCTTAACCCTCACGCCAAGTGGACTGTGATCGGGGTGATCTGAGTCACTGGAGAGAATCACATCAGGTTTTTATAGAAAAGTGAATTTTTCATATGTTCTTTTAAAGTTTGATTTTTTATGAATATCCTCACTCCTCATATGGAAATGAATGCTTCTGTGAAGCTTTCCCATGGTACCAAGTGACAGCGGTTGTCATTTTTCATATTTTTCACACTATTTCAACTTTATATTTCTATTATCTATTATTTCAGTGTTAAGTAATTATCTTAGTATGATAATTATATTTCCATAGCAATTCAGACCATGAAATTTTCATACTATCCTGTGTTACTGTTGGATTATGATGATTTCTTGTCTCATTCCTTATTTGAGTATTGAGTATCTTAGTGTATTCACTGCAAGTTTTGAGGCCTCTGCAGCGATTGAGATGTGCCTTGTTCATTTGGGTGTGATAAATAGGTTTTATAGAGGTTTCTTATTGTTTCTATCCATATACTTGTCTGTTCCAGCAGTCTG